GGTGGGGTGGGGTGAAGTAGAGAGGCATAGGATTGGGTGGGATGGGGTGGGGTGACTTTCGATCTCGACGGTTGCGAGCAGACTCACACGTCGCCCCAATAAACCGAGCGAGGGAGCGGCACAACTTCTTTATTATCAATCTGTGGTTTTCACTATCTGTCTGAATGGCTTTCTTCCCCCCAGCACTAAATGGCCGCTATCGGGTCGATGTGTTTCCCCCACAGCTCTCACAACTGCCGGAGCTGATAAGTGTGACAAAGAAAACGACTTTTAAAAAACTTCCGCGTTTTAGACTCATCTGACCTCACCGGGATAATCTTTACATTATAATTGTAAAAGTTTTACGCCCCCTTAGACTTAGACGCAATTTAGATCATTTAAGAGGCGAGCTGTTTTGTCCCTGCATGTCAGATGGGTTGTGAGGGATACAACAAATTGAACTTTAATAATCTCCTTAACGTACAAGAGAAAAGTAAAGTGAAGAACTGTTACATAATAATAATATACTGAGATTGTTTAGTTGTTCTCCTAACGTTCGGTTGATGAAATCACAAGAAGGAAGAAGGGAAAAAAAGATGGGTGATATTGAAAAAAAGAAAAGAGAGAAAAAAAAGTATGAATTGAAGAAATGAAGAAAGAAAAGAAAAGAAGAAAAACGAAAAAAAAACACGAAAGAAAGCGAGAAAGAAAGAAAGCCAGATAGAAAAAAAAAGGGAAAGAAAGAAAGAAAGAAAAGAAAGAAAGAAAGAAAGAAAGAAAGAAGGAAAGATATAGAAAAAGAAAGAAAAGAGCGTTGTGGCAAATCTTTTAGAACATTGTTCGTGAGTGTGTGAGTGACGTAGGTGGGCGTGGTGCGGAGGGGCGGGGGGTTTAATTGTGGGGTTAGGAAGTTAGGATAGGGGCTGAGGTGTCGGCGTGAGCTTGTGAATCTGGCTAATGGAAGATGATCACTCCAGGCTGGTGGCAGAGAGGGGGCTAGAGGAGGGGGTGAGGGAGGGGAGAGGAGGAAGGGAGGGAAGAGGAGGAAGGGAGGGGAGAGGAGGAAGGGAGGGGAGAAGAGGAAGGGAGGGGGAGATGGGGAAGGGAGGGAATAGGAGGGAGGGAGAGGAGAGAGGGGGAAGGGAGGGGAGAGGAGGAAGGGAGGGGGGAGAGGGTTAGAGAACGGGGAGAGGGGTGAGGGTGAGGTGGACAAAGGAAGAGAGAGTGAAGAGTAGAGGACGCGAGGGATGGAGGGAGAGGTAGAATGGAGACAGGAAGGAGACTGTTGCAAGGTGGAGAGAAGGTGAGCGAAGGAGGGGTAGAATGGGAGAGAGAACGTGTGAAATGTGGAAGAAAGAGAAAGAGAGTGAGTTAGTGAGAAAGAGAGAGAGAGAGGGAGAGAGAGAAGGAGAGAGAGTGTATGAGAGAGAGAGAAAGAGAGAGAGAGAGAAAGAGAGACAGACAGACAGACAGACAGACACAGGGAGAGAGAGAGAGAGAGAGAAAGAGAGAGAGAG